GTTGCCAGCATTAGTTTCCTGGGTTTGTTTTTCTTCATATTTCTTTTGGTGGACTTGTTCCTCTGTCAATTATAATTTTGGAGATTTAGGGACAATATTCCCGGTAGGGTCCATCTCTATTGCTGATAGATTTTATAGTCAGCGCGGAGGAAAAGTTTTGGAGATAATTGGTTATAGGAATGGATCTGAAGGAGATAGGACAGTAGGATTCTCTAGTAGGAATTTGAGTATTTCTGATAGACTAATATATGAGAAAGGTCGCAAATTAGAAAACAACTATAAACAGCGGGATCCCCATGTAGAACAGGCTCAGATGGCTCTGTTCATAAGGGCAATGCTAGCGAACCAGAGCCTCTTCTTGCTTCTCTGTACGTTCCACGAATGATAAGCTTGTGAAGATTGATGGGACTTGATAATCCACTCTGTTCTGGCTACTGAGAAAGCGAAGGCATCTCAAACTGTTCATTCAGAGATAATAGGAGAGAAACTGGATTGGCGATTTCTAAAGATTGGGATTCTGCTCTGGCTATTCCTGAAGTTGGAAGAAACAGAGATTCACATCCTCACCTGTATAGGAGCCCGCCTGAACAGCGGAAGGCTCTTGCCTCTGGTTCAGCTGAGACTTTGAAGGACCATTTAAAGTCAACCTGCGACTGATGGTAAAATGCAAAAGTGGTTCCATGAAGGCCTTGCTGGTGAGTTTGCTTTTGCATTTTTTTTTTCAATGAATATACGTGTTATATATAGATTGCTTGGTTGCTTTCTTTCTTGATTTCTTTCTTTCTCTTTTTTTCCTTTTTTAATTTGTCCTTGGATTCATGTCATGTTGGTACCCAAGGTGGTCGTTAGCCTCTGCTGTATAGGCTTTCCAAGTAACATTATGACGTTGTTGGAACAGTGTGAAAAGCCATCATGACGAATGATTTTTTCCATCTTTTAAATGTGTCTAAGCTCCTGCAACGAAGAGAACTACGTGTCTATTTTGGTAATCATAATTCTCACAATTACTGAAGGTCCTGGATTCCTGATGCAGGGCCAATGCTAAGTTCTGGGATGTGCTCAGAGGTTTTCCAGTTTGATGCCTCACCAACACCCGGAGCCATAGTTCCAGCATCGCCAGTCGCTAATGTTTCTGCAGTTAACCCCCAGAATGATACAAGCATCAACAAGAGCAGGAATAGAAGATTTCTTGATAGGCCTCCCAGTTCCCTTGCCAGATCCGATCGCAACCCCAGTAAAGAACATGGAAGAATTCCCAGAATGAGGACCTCACTGGTAACAAGTCAATGTCTTCCATGGTGGTTTCGGTTCTTGTTGATCCCAAAGAGGTGGGAGATGGTGATGTGGATGGCATGATGCAACACAAGTCACTTTCTCGGATTTTTGTGTTGTGCTTATAGACAGCGTCAAGCATGTGACTTACTCTTGCGGTCTCCCGCGCACACCTCTCCATCTCGTGACTGCGTGATTTGCCTACGGATCAAAATCCTTTGACCGGCAACAGAATGTTTTCAATTGAGATCTAATATGTAATATCTAACTCATGCTTCAGTTTCTCCAACAAGTCAGAATAAGAGGAAAATGAGGGAAACTGAGCTCCAATTTTGTACATAACAACGTGGTTCTGTTCTACTGTAGTGTACTGAGGACAAGACCTTTACGTGTAGAATTTAAGTGTATGTAATATTTAGACTAAGGAACCTTATCCCGCCCCTCAGAAGAATTTGCATTTTATGAACAAGACCTGTTAGTTTAAAATCTTGTTTCTTTTTAATTTTTGTTGTCGTTTGCTATTTCTAAAATTTAAACAAAACCAAATGGTTTGATAACAGAATAACATAAAGTTATAAGTAATTGTATGACTGAAAAGGTTGGTATTCATGCTTTTAAATGACTGTAATAATACCTTTTTAAGGTTCCAGAGTATCCTCTAGCAAAGGGAATCTGATAAAGGTTTGCTCAAATACAAAAAATTGATCTCTCTGTTTATTCAGCAAATACTTCAATGCCGCACAGTAGATGAGCATACAACAAAAAATGTCATAATGGGCGTCATGGGCTAACCTAGCTGAGTTATTTGTACACACCATAATTTCTCTCAAAGGAAGACTACAAGATTTTACGCATCATGCGACAAAATAAATCAAAAGCATCTTGGCAATGGCAGGGCAAGTGTCAACCCCGAGAGTAAGCAAACTGGGTCACATGATGCTAGTTGATTTAATATTAAATTACTCAAAACTAAACAATTTGAATTAATGCCGTGTTCATGAAACCTATTCACATCGATTGGTTAACAATTTTCTCTGTGCAAGCTGTTCCCCCGTGAACTATCCATAATGGCTAAGTTGTTTTTTTTTTTTTTTTTGCCCCCAGAGAACTCATTCCATAAAATAACTAGGCAAAAGGCCAAGATAAGCAAACGCATCAAAGCAGAAGGCAACGCAGAAAAGCAAAGTATCAAACCGAAAACGAGGATTCCAGTCCCACCAGCTCCGTGTTCCTCTTCCGTTCAGTCCCACAACTGCATAAAAGTGTCGTAGGTGAACCCCTTTTATTTTGAGAGAGCTCGTTCCAATACTAACCGTGTAAAAACCAACGGCATTTATTCTGAGTAAACGACGAAATATTATAGCTGACGTACGCAATATGTCTTTGGAGACTACGGGGGCAAATCAGGATTCATAGTACAAGATGTCCCTTTGGCGACCTCAACTGGCAAGCCTCCTTTCATCCGCAAGGTCAAGGATAACACGTGGTCGGGACACCTGTCCTTGCTCTGTGCCTCTATCTCAAACAATTCCATCACTGAAGCTGCTATGCACTTCATCTGAATGTAGGCCAAGTCTTTGCCTAAACACAGCCTTGGGCCTGCATGAAACACTGGATATCGAAACGGGTTCTCGCCTCTGTAAACTCCATTTTCAATCCATCTTTCTGGTTTGAATTCGCAGCAATCCTTTCCCCAAATGCTCTCCATCCTCCCCATGGCGTATGTGTGGTAAGATATGAACCAGTCCTTCCGAATCACCGTACCGTCCGGCAACACATCGTCTTTCAGGCATGCTTTTGTGTCCACCGGTACTGGTGGGTACAACCTCATCGTTTCCGAAATGGCTGCTTGTAGGTAGTTCATATCTTTCAGCTCCTCGTACCCAAAGGCTTCACCTCTCTTCTTCCCGTTTCGGGAGCGAGTGGCTCTGAGTTCGTCTCTTATTTCTTGCTTCACGTCTGGTCTTGACGAGAGTATCCAGAAGAACCAGCTCAGAGCTGCCGACGTCGTGTCTCGCCCAGCCAGGATGAAGCTTATCACGATATCTCGCAGAAATGCCGGAGAACTCTCTTCTGTTCCGATAAAACGGGACAATAAGTCCAGATCCCGATTACTTTCCTTGGCTTCCAATCTGGACCTTATGATCTCATCCGCAAACTCGTGTACGGTCACGATTGCTTCTCTCAGCCTCCGCTCTGATCCCACGTTCAACCACCTCTTGATTTTGAACACGCCCGGTAAAGCGTACATGAACCTCCGGGAACTCAGCGTCGCGGCATCCTCGAACGCCGACATGAATTCCGTTCCGCCGGTTCCCTCGCCGCCTAGACACTCAGGGTCGTAGTTGAAAGCGAGCTTGCAGATGTTGTCGAAAGCGAAACGCTCCAAGATGTCCTGCAGGTCCAGAACCCCGTGGGTGTCTGAGGCCCGAGAGAGAAGCGGAACCAACCTGGTCTGAATTTCGACCGTGACGTTCTCGATGACAAAGTTTCGAAGCGATTTGGTGTTGAACTCGTAGCTGGCGGTTTTCCTCTGAACTTTCCAGAGGTCGCCGTCGGAATTGAAGATTCCGGTGCCGAGGAAATCATGGAGGAGGCTAATGAATCGTTCGCCTTTGGGATAGTTGGGGAAGTTGGTTTTGAGCATGTGCTCGACGTTGTCTGGGTTAGCCGTAATGACGCCTTGGACTTTGCCGGGGCGGAAAAAGACGGCGGTGTTAGGGGGGCAGTCACGAAGAACCTGGGTGGTCCAATCCAGGAAGCGTTCGCGATTCTTCAGGAAATCTGGTAAAGTTCCAAGTAACGGGTAGTTTCGGAAGCCCCTCTCGGGGGATATTCTGAAAAACTTGACAAATAAAAGGGAGAGATAGAAAAGGATGAGGAAGACGAAGAGTAGGGAAAGCAAAGATAAGAGATCCATGGCTTTGCACTTCGGAGCTGATCAGGTATGAGTTGGAGCCGCGCGCATAACGATGGTTTGTGCGGCCCATATATACATACATTTATATACTCCTTCTATCTCTTGTTTTAAAATCTAATTTTTTTAATGAGTTTATCTTTTTAATAAAAAATTTTTTGAATTTATCTCAGTATTTAATACGATATTATCTATTTTACATCTAATTTAATATATTTAATATTTTTTTATTTATTTTACTATTACTCTCTCACATTTATTTATTTAAATATAGAGGTATATTTGAAAAAAAAACTGTATTTGCTGCATATTAATTATTTTTAATTAATTTTAAATATTTTCTTAAACTATATAATTTAGTTAAAAAGATCTTATAATGAGAGATGGAGTAGTATGTAATAGCCCCCTTTTCATCGGAATTATTTTTAAAAAAAATACAGTATATAATATTTATGAAACCGACTTTTTAAGACCTTAGCAGACCTTAATTAACTTCTACCTCCGGTCCTAATTATAAGACCCAGTTGACTAATTTGAGGAGATTAAGGAAGTAAATTAAGTTAGTTATTTGTAACAAATAAGTGTTGTCATTCCTAAAATATCCTTGCTAATTAAGTGTGTTGGTTAGAACTATCATTATTAGAAGGACTATCTTGGAAAAAAATGCATAAATATGAGAGATAAAATGGATTGGGATCTTATAATTAGGACCAAACTAAAAATTAAACGGGATCTTATATTAAGAACCGGAGATAGTACAAGTCTCTCAGGTCAAAAAAAAATTAACTACAAGTCTCCGCTTAACAATATACCAGTCACCAGAGTTATAATTCTACCATGGAGATCAATATACAGACGAAAGTTGAACCATGTCATCATAATATCGAAGAGAATGTTTGTTGGAATATCGGTCTCTTTAATCATAGTCCACCGTCGGAGGATTATACTTTTGTCCCATGGGTTGAGCCGTCGAGTGATGATCCAACGCGCTGGCGACCCAGAGTTTTCCGGTCTGCCTGGTGATGTTTAATCGAGTGGCGTCGACTGCGAACCATTTTTTTTTTGTTAATATAATTTTTAGTCTCTAGAATTTAGATTCATTTTAGTTTTGATGCATCAAATTTTAAACATATAGTTTTAGTTTTTGAAATTTAGTTAAATTTAAAATGTTAGTTCCTGAAGCTGTAACACTGTTAAGAACAGCTGAAATATTGTAAACGGTATTAAAATGATAATATGGATTTACCAATGACACCTAACTAAATTTTATATAGATAACATAATAATTATATAAAGGCGGATGGGTTCTCAAAATGAGAACAGGTCCCTCAAACGAGTCACCAGAGGGGGAAAAAAAGGGAACTAAACAACTGCGTTTTGAAGACTTATTTTTTCTTCTTCTTCCCTGTATTATCCATACAAGACCCACCTAAGTGTTATTTGGTGGATTCACGTTACCACTTTAATGTCATATACAACATTTTAACAGATATTAATATTTTAAGTCGGTTTAAATTTTAGGGACTCAAACTGTAGACTTGAAATTTGAAATACTAAAACCAAAATTTACCCAAATTTTATAAACCAAAAATTATATTAGCAAATTTTTTTAACCAACACGGAAGTGTTTCATTTTGTTCATACTCAAATACTACTCCGGTCATTAATATAAAAGCTTGTATGATTTTTATTTTGGTTTTAAATATAAGACATCAATTTATTTTGTCTCTCATGCTTATTCAATTTTTTTTTCCGAAGTAGCTATTGTGATAATACTAATTTTAACCTATACACTTAATTAATAAGGATATTTAAGAAAAGATAACACCTGTTTATTACAAATAACTAACTTAACTAATTTTTTTAATTTATTTAAATTAGTTAACGAACTTTTATATTAAGGATAGGAGGTAGTACTAATTTTCATATCATGAACAGATTTTTTGCTTTTTAAATAGAACCTAATAACCCAGATTACAGAGAGAGAGATCATAGATATCAAATGAGCAGCGATATAACACTGTGATTGATTAAAAATGTTTAAGAAATTAACAAGCATAGTGAATTTCTATTATTCACATAGTGATTTGCTTCACACAAATGAACAACGTGGAATTTCTTCTGGAAACTTTGCAGGTTGTAGAGGGAGCAATAACACAAGCCCTCCCACCTTTGTTACAGTGTCCCTGGTAAAGTTGGTGGTAATAGGTTGTAGAACTACAGCTAGGATAAAAACTCACACTGTAATATCCTATTATAGTAATAATAATAATAAAATATATAAGTTAACTTTCCACCGAATTTGGTGGAAAGTTGGCGGTGGATGTGGAAATTTGGAGGGGGTTGCGGTAGAATTCAACCCCTCAATAAATATTTAGGGGTGTTAAATACTCCTCTCCAAATTCATTTCTCACGTCAGACACAAGGAGGAAAGAGAGATAGAGTGGGTGAGGAACGAGAGAAAGAGAGATAGAGTGGGAGGAGCAGACCGGTAGAGGAGGAAACAAGTTTTGAAGATATTTTAGGTACATAAAATTATTTCTTTTTATCAAACTTTCTTTATGAATATTTTCTGTATATTTTGAGCTTCCTATTTATATTATTATTATAGTAATTGGAAAAAATTTTGAAACTTATATATGATCTAAGTATTGAGTTTTGATAAAAGATGACTATAGAAATTTAGAAGTGAATGGGTTGTTAATTTTAATCGATTAGATTTGTCTATTTGTTGGTTTTTAGTATTTAAATTAGCTTTTCTAGTTGAAAAATCTGTTATATATGATTTATATTATATTTTTACCGATTAAATTCAAGTTAAGTAATTTATTTGGGCTGTTTGGTATATTATTAAGATTTTAATCGGTTTAGTTTTATTTATTGGGTGACTGGAGGTTTTAAAATAATTATTGTAGCTAAAAAGTTTATTATTTACGGAAATATATATATGGTAGTTATACCATTAAAGTTTTGATTAGATTATTTATTTATACATATTTGAAGTATTATTGAATTTTTGATAGTTTGATTTTGAGGTTTAAACTTAAAATGGGATTTTTAGAATTTAGAACATAATAATTTTATATTTAGAAATTGTGAAAAATCCTTGTTATTAAGGTAAATAATTTGGAGGTGGTAAATAAATAATTTGGGTTGTTAGAAATTTTAAGTTGTTTCTAAAATACTTAATAATTTTTTGGTTATGAGAGTTGCGGGAATTTAGAATAAAAATTTAATTAAATTAGAAATTTAACTAATATAAAGAATTTTAATTAATTAATTAATATTAATATGTAGTTATATTAATTGTGTAGATTAATCATTGGTTGAGCAAGTGATTGACCTTGTGGTAATCCTTAGTATTGTTTTGGCGAGAGGTAACCACTTTCCACTGGTTATATGTGCTAATATGTTGTTTGTAGGTATTTTGCTATTTTTAGAATAATATTTGATATTTGGAACTTGAGTCGATATGTTATATCTTCTGAGCTATGAAAATTGTCTTGTGGGATTTTTGGAATTGCGATTGAGAAGTTTGGAAGAGATATGTGATTTATATCTTATGGATTATACTGAGAAAAGATTGAGACATTTTTCGTTATATTGTGAATGATTACTTGTTATTTGGATTTTGGATTGAGTTCGATCCTACCACGTGGTAAGGCCGCCATTGGTGCACATTGGTTGGCTTCTTCCTTCGTCCCCCATAGTGAGAGATAGGCCTTTGTGGCTTCTTATTCGCCCCAGGAGTGAGGGATAGGCCTATATGTCTGATTAATCCCCCATAGTGAGGGATAGATTTATGTGGCTTGTGTGTTAGCCCCCACTTGACATTGGTTGGCTTCTTCCTTCGTCCCCCATAGTGAGGGTTTGGATGGTTGAAATTATATATCTAAGTTTTCGAGAATTAATAACTGTCCCACTTGACACCTCACGAGCATGTGTTAGTATGTATAATGAGTTGGAAAGTTGGTTACTAAGGCGTTTGTCTCACCCCGTGGTTTTTACTATCTTCAGGTGATAGTTCAGGTGGTGGCCCATCAAGGAAGGCTCCGGAGGCATAGTGTGTTGTTATAGCTTGTATAGCCTCCCTGCTTTTGTTTTATGTGTTGACTTGTTATACATTGCCACATAGGGCCCATATAGTCTAATGCTATAAACTAATACTTTTAATTACTACTATCTGATATGGGAGGTCATTGGAAGGCCAGAGATATTTAAGACTTTGCGTATTATGCTCATTTAATAATGTTGACTTTTGACTAATGGGCTTCATGACTTATATTAAAATGTTTTATTAGTTCGTGTGTTTGAAAGTATAAGTTTGGTTTGGGCTAACGGTTGAATAATATTTCTAGACTTTGAAAGTCCAATGCCTAAGTTAATGATTGATGTAACTCGTAATATAAGTTTATTTCTTTTAACTATGATAATGATTTTAAAATTTTAAGGTTTCTTCTTTTCTATCATGGTTAATCATTCAAATAAATTCTTGGATTTAAGCTAAAATAGTTTTGAAAGAACGGTTGTCACACACACAAAATATATATTAATATATATAAATGGGAAAAATGAGATAAAAAGAAGTTGAAAATTGTAATATTTCAATTTAGGCACCTAAGAAATCAAAATCACAGGGGAAGAAGTGGTACTTGATTTGGTATTTTACAAACGTAGTTAAATAACTAAAATACCTTTGCATCAAATTTTTTTAAAAAACGCTATCAAACTTGTTATCATCAATACATTTCTCATAATTAGATATTCAACACTTATCATTCCCAGTTAACAGTTTATTAATAAATAGCTTGTCATTACCAGTATATTTTTTATCATTTGTTATTTAATATTTGTCATTTTTAATTCACAACTTGTTAATAAACTTTTTGATATAAGGGCATTTTTATCATTTAACTATATTTGAAAAATATCAAATCAAGCACCATTTCTTTTTCTGAAATTTTGACCTCTTAAGTACTGGAATTGAAATATTATAATTTTTAACTTTTTTTAATGTCACTTTCCCACACATATACTACATCCGGTCCTAATTATAAGACCCAGTTAACTAATTTGGAGAGATTAAGAAACTTAGTTAAGTTAGTTATTTGCCATGAATAGGTGTTGTTTTTTAAAATATCCTTACTAATCAAGTTTGTTATCTAAAACTACCATTATTAAAGGACTATTTTAGAAAAAAATTGATAAATATGAGAGATAAAATAGATTGAAATCTTATATTTAGAATCAAAATAAAAGTCAAACAAAGTCTTATATTAAAGACTGGAGCTGGTATATATTTATATCCCAGCACTCACGACCTAAATCAGAAGTTTGGCATATTGCTCATCACCACCAGGTGGCACATAAGCATCAAAATTATAAATGCACTTTGTAGAAGTGGAGAAGAATTTAAATTTCAGCGTGGGGATGAGACGCATCAAAGCGCAGCTAGCGCTGATAATCATCAGGAATTATGAGAGATGTGGATAGACCCATCTCGACAGGGGGAGAATGATTTCTTCTTCCCCCCCCCCTCTTTCTACAGTTATAATATCATGTTGGTAATAAAATAGATGATTTTAATTTAGAACAAATTTTGTTTTTTGAAGAAAAATGATGAACTTGTCTGGCCTCTCCAGCCTCTAATCATTTGGTGTGTGATATTAATTGACCATAGAAGGAGGGATACCACAAGCTGATGTCTCTGCTGTCCGAGCAGATATTACTGATGGGTACAAGACCTTTACGCGTAGACTTCAACTGCATGTAACATTCAGATCGAGGAACCGCCTCTGCCTTTTTCGTTGTTTTGGCCCCACACACCCACCACTTTTGTTGGGATCCGGAAGAATTTGAATTTTATCCATTAACTATCTTTTAAATTAAAAAAATTAGTTAAATTAATTATATGTTTTTTAAAATATTATTTCTAATCAAGTATATCGGTTAAAACTACTATTATTACAATAATTATTTTGAAAAAAATAAATAAATATGATAAATAAATTTGATTGGAATCTTATATTTACTATCAAAATAAAAATTAAATGAGCTTTTATATTAATGATCGAATGTAGTAATTTTGTATCCAGGTAACTGTTGACAGAATTCCAATATGACATTTTTTGTGTAATTGATACTCATGAATAGTAATATACTATTTATGGTCATAAATATAAAAGTTGGTTGATTAATTTTAGTAGATTAAAGAAATAAGTTAAGTTAGTTATTTGTAATAAATAGGCATTATCTTTCCTAAAATATTCTTAATAATCAAGTTTATTAGCTAGAACTACTATTATTAGAAAAACTATTTTAAAGAAATGGATGAACATAAAAGACAAAATGAATTAGAATTTATATTTAAGATTAAAATAAAAATAAAATAAGATTTTATATTAAAAATAGGGGTATGAGATAACTTACAAAACCCACTGATCGTCATTCGTCACCAACGACTTTAACGCCCCAGACTGGCAGCTGAGCATAGTTACAACTTACAAAAATCGTCGTAGGCGCCTCATGAGCGAGCCTAGCTGAATTAGCATTTAGCAGTACACACCATTATTTCTCTTCAAGGAAAAGTGCAAGACCCTACGCTGTCATGCGATAAAACAAAAGCATTTTAATTGGCATTCTTTTCTTTTGGGCCATTATTTACTCTACTCTATACATTACTCTCAAAATAAGCACTTATCAAAGCGAGCAGCGAACCATCGATTGATCGATTGGTAAGAGAGTCGTTTAGCTTAATCAGAAATCTCAAGTGAACAGGGAAGAAGGCCATTGGGGGTAGAAGATGGGTTCATGACAAAAGACGTGAACCTGCTTCGTGGAACCGGTGAGCTCTTTACCTTAAACTGCTCATTAATTGATGGTCACAATAATAACTTGTGATTTGTGTGTTCGTGGGAGAGAGAAAATTGGATGATATCGACCGAGGAGAGAAGGGGACAAAAGCAAAAGTAGAAAACCTGGTCATGTTAACTTATTTTGCTTGGATGTATGGAAATTTTAAAAGATTTTTAGGTAAATCGAGGTAAAAGTTTTTCCACCCTAAAATTATCTTTAGAATCATGATTTGGTTCCATTCAAATAAGTCTGATTGATTTAAATATTAAATTATTCAAGACCAAATTGGAACTACACAGTCAAGATGTCTCTTTTGGCGACCTCAACTGGCAAGCCTCCTTTCATCCTCAAGGTCAAGGATAACACGTGGTCGGGACACTTGTCCTTGTTCTGTGCCTCTATCTCAAACAAGTCCATCACTGAAGCTGCTATGCACTTCATCTGAATGTAGGCCAAGTCTTTGCCTAAACACAGCCTTGGGCCTGCATGAAACACTGGATATCGAAACGGGTTCTCGCCTCTGTAAACTCCATTTTCAATCCATCTTTCTGGTTTGAATTCGCAGCAATCCTTTCCCCAAATGCTCTCCATCCTCCCCATGGCGTATGTGTGGTAAGATATGAACCAGTCCTTCCGAATCACCGTACCATCGGGCAGCACATCGTCGTTCAGGCATGCTTTTGTGTCCACCGGTACTGGTGGGTACAACCTCATCGTTTCCGAAATGGCTGCTTGTAGGTAGTTCATATCTTTCAGCTCCTCGTACCCAAAAGCTTCACCTCTCTTCGTCCCGTTTCGGGAGCGAATGGCTCCGAGTTCGTCTCTTATTTCTTGCTTCACGTCTGGTCTTGACGATAGTATCCAGAAGAACCAGCTCAGAGCTGCCGACGTCGTGTCTCGCCCAGCCAGGATGAAGCTTATCACGATATCTCGCAGAAATTCCGGAGAACTCTCTTCTGTTCCGATAAAACGGGACAATAAGTCCAGATCCCGATTACTTTCCTTGGCTTCCAATGTGGACCTTATGATCTCATCCGCGAACTCGTGGACGCTCATGATTGCTTCTCTCAGCCTCCGCTCCGACCCTACGTTCAACCACTTCTTGATTATAAACACGACCGGTAAAGCGTACATGAACCTCCTGGAACTTAGCGTTGCGGCATCCTCGAAAGCCGACATGAATTTCGTCCCGCCGGTTCCCTCGCCGCCTAGACACTCAGGGTCGTAGTTGAAAGCGAGCTTGCAGATGTTATCGAAAGCGAAACGCTCCAAGATGTCCTGCAGGTCCAGAACCCGGTGGCCGTCTGAGGCCCCAGAGAGAAGCGGAACCAACCTGGTCTGAATTTCGACCGTGACGTTCTCGATGACAAAGTTTCGAAGCGATTTGGTGTTGAACTCGTAACTGGCGGTTTTCCTCTGAACTTTCCAGAGGTCGCCGTCGGAGTTGAAGATTCCCGTGCCGAGGAAATCATGGAGGAGGCTGATGAATCGTTCGCCTTTGGGATAGTTGGGGAAGTTGGTTTTGAGCATGTGCTCGACGTTGTCTGGGTTAGCCGTAATGATGCCTTGGACTTTGCCGGGACGGAAGAAGACGGCGGTCTTAGTGGGGCAGTCCCGAAGAACTTGGGTAGTCCAGTCCAGGAAGCGTTCGCGATTCTTCAAGAAATCAGGTAAAGTTCCAAGCAAGGGGTAGTTTCGGAAGCCCTTCTCCGGTGATTTTCTAAAAGACCTGAGAAATGAGAGGTAGAGATAGAAAACGATAAGGAAGACGAAGAGTAGGGAAGGCGGAGTTAAGAGATCCATCGCTCTGCACGGCAGAGAGAAGAGGAGACCAAGTGAGGAGGTGATAAGGTGCGAATTGTAGCTGCTCATATAACGATGGTTTGCGTTGGGTGGCCTGCATGTGATGGAATTTATGCTTTTCTTGTCATGAAAAAATAGAATATATACCATAATCATATTTATAAAACCGACTCCTTAACTACAAGTCTCCAGAGTATATTACGAGATTATCAAGTAGGTTATAATATAAATATATAGTTTTTTAACCTTTAATATAAAGTATGTAGTTGAAACATGCCATCATATTGAAGATGTCACTGGTCGTTGGAATATTGGTCTTAAATCGTATTCCACCAACGGATGATTATATTTTAAGTTTATTGACCCAACGCCCTATAGCTACCAAGAGTTATGTTGAATGGAGGGGCGCCAAAGTGTGAACCACTTTTTTAACCAATATATAGTAGAAAACTCTTTTCCTTCGGCTCCTACTCAGATATGATGTTTTCACATCACTAACGTACTTTTTTCTTACAACAAAGAGGTGATGTACAATGAGTAGCGATAACACTGCGATTAAAAATGTTTAAGAAATTAACAAGCATGGTGAATTTCGTTTGTTCATATAATGATTTGCCACAAAAATCGAAAATGTGGAATTTATTCTGGAAACTTGGAGGTTGTAGGGAGAGAAATGACAAAATCCCTGCCACCTTTTTACAGTGTCCCTGGGGTTTGCTAGTAATAGTTTGAAGAACTCTGAAAGTGGGATCCATGACTACAGCTGGGAGACACCCACAAAATATAGATATATATATATATATATATGTATGTATATAAATCCTGTCACATGCAGACGTAAAACAGTATCTTGGCATATTATTCCTCACCATCGAGTGGCGCATGAGCATCGAAACTATACATTCACTCTGAACAAATGGAGAAGAATTTAAATTTCAATGTGGGGATGAGACGCCTCCAAGTTAAAGGCTGATTGGGAATAATTATTATAGACGTGGACAGATTCATTTCTGGTCGGGGAATGAGTTTTTCTTTTTTTGGCTTTCTTTCCAGTACATTCATAATGTCATGTTCCGAGAAACGTAAATAATTAAATAATTTTAATTGCAACGATTTTAAAACAAATGCTAATTAAATGTTGAGCACGTAATTAATCGGCTTTCGAATCAAAGCCAATTCAGCTATTAATCAATGGAGCTTCATATGATTGAATCCGTCACTAAATTCCAAACCGGTGGTGCTCTCTTTGGGTTACCGTGACAGGCAGGCCTCCTTTCATTCTCAAAGTCAAACAAAACAGAAGCTGAGGACACGTGTCCTTATGCAGCGCCTCTACGTCGTACATCTCCAACACCGAAGCCGCAACGCACTTCATCTGGACATAAGCTAATTCTTTACCCAAACACAACCTCGGACCTGCATGGAACACCGGATATCGAAACGGGTTCTCCCCTTGGTAAATCCCATCCTCAATCCACCGTTCTGGTTTGTATTCGCAGCAATCTTCTCCCCATATACTCTCCATCCTTCCCATGGCGTACGTATGGTATGATATAAACCAGTCCTTCTTGATCATCGTACCGTCCGGCAACACTTCGTCCCCCGAACACGCCCTCGTATCCACCGGAACTGGTGGGTACAACCTCATTGCTTCCGATATTGCTGCTTGTAGATAATGCATGTCTTTCAGATCCTCGAATCCGAATCCATCTGTTATGTTTTTCCCTTTTTTAGAGCGGATCGCTTTTAGCTCCTCCCTTATTTGTCGTTTTACGTCCGATCTTGAGGATAATATCCAGAACAACCAACTCAACCCGGAGGACGTCGTGTCACGCCCTGCTAGAATGAAGCTTATCACAATATCTCGTAGAAACTCCGGCGAGCACTCCTCCGTTCTGATAAACCGGGACAGTAGGTCCTGGTCTTGATCGGCATTCGGGGCTTCCAATCTGGACCTTATGATCTCATCCGCGAGCCTGTGTACAGTTGCGATTGACTCTCTCAGCCTTCTTTCTGATCCTATGTTCAACCACCTCTTGATTTCAAACATAAGTGGGAAGGCGTACAAGAACCTGTCGGCGCTGAGAGTGGTGGCATCATCAAACGCCCGCATGAGGTCAGCGCCGGCTGTTCCGTCACCGTCGAGGTATCCGGGGTCGACGTTAAAAGCAAGCTTGCAAATGTTGTTGAAAGCGAAGCGCTCCAGGATGTCCTGCAGATCGAGTACCCGGCGAGTCTGGGAGGCCCTCGAGAGAAGGGGAAGTAGCCTCGTCTGAATTTCGATGGTAACGTTGTCCATGACGAAGTTTCGAAGCGACTTAGAGTTGAATTCGTAGCTTGCTGTTTTCCTCTGAACTTTCCAGAGGTGGCCGTCGGCGTTGAAGATTCCTGAGCCCAGAAAATCTCGGAGAACGTATGTCATTTTTTGGCCCTTGGGATAGTTGCGGAAGTTGGTCTTGAGAATGTGTTGTACGTTGAGCGGATCAGCTGTGAGGATGCCCAGGACATTGCCGGGACGAGCTAAGAAAGCTGTGTGGGTGGGGCATTCGCGGAGGACTTGGGTGGTCCACTCTAAGAAACGGTGTCGATTCTTGACGAAGTCGGGCAAAGCTCCGATGAAAGGGTAGTTATGGAAGCCCCTTTCGGCAATATCTGTGGTGGAAATGAGAGACCGAAGGTAGATGTATGTAAAGAGAAGGAATATGAAGAGCAAGACGGCGAAGAGCTGCATGGCGAGGAGACGAGTACTGTGAAATGGAAGTACTACTATATATATATGTTGATGATATATATGTAGTAATACTCACGCCATAAGACCGTGAGTCGTGATCTGTGAATATAATTAATTAATCTGTTAATCTATAGGGATTAGTTAGAGATAACTGGCACTGGAGAGGAGTTAAATAAGGTTGATGATGCCCTTGCGGAACGCATTGTCATTTTCTAATATAAATTGACTTAATAATTGTCTGTCGAGTGGTGTGCTCTTCAAGTTTCAAAGAAAACAATTGGATTTGTGAGGATCTCCACCGGATATACAGACCTTTTTTTTAAAAAAAAAAAAAAAAAACTACTCAGCCCTGCCTCTCGTATTAAACATCTAAACTTCTATAGAATATCCATGCAAGTGTCACGAGAATTGTAAAGATGTCCCTACAATAAGGTTGTATATGGGTGAGCATGGAGAGGTTCCAGGCCGAGACTATCAAGATATTGAAAGTCAAATGTGGAGATTTGTTTGTTGATGGGGTGTTTTGTAAGAGAGCTTGCGTTCTATTTATTCTTAATAACTGTCGTCTCATGAAGGGAAATATAATCATAGAATTTTTTTTTCTTATTGTCATTTATAATTAGAATTTTCACCAGCCAACCAATAGGAATCTTTCAACTATGCGTCTAGCCTCATTTTGTGACATAGGCTTGGGCTTGCTATTACATGGATCAGGCCCATCCCACCCCAAAGTATGAAAGGGTCATCCGTTTTTTTACGGGCTTAACAAAACTCTGTTACATTTAAGGCTCGTCAACTGGGGAAAAAAAGATAAGAAGCATGCAATGCTGCGAGCCCACAAAAAAATAACAAGAACCTCATCGCCTGACAAGCCCAAAGTGCCATTGGAAACTGGAAGGATTCGATCGCCTTATAGTCAGTTTTGAGAAATTAAACCAGATATTGTGAATGGGGAGAAAATTATGTATGGAAAATTACCTTTTATTTGAGGCTGAAAATGGCTGTGTGAATTAATCAATAACATGATTCCTTTGAAGGAAAAGAAAAAACAAAAGAAAAACAAGAAAGAATGGTCATGCAATTGTGATAAAAAGGGGGAAAGAAAGAAGATAGGCACGCAATAATAATAATGAGGAAAATCGAAAGAACATAAAAAGCAAGGCAAAAAGATAAGTGAAAACCTTTACAATCGTTTCTTTCTTTTTTTCAGGATATTGGACGGATTATTGGTTCATTGAATCTAGAAATTTTTAGATAATTATCAAACAATCTAGAAAAAAAAACGCTAAAAAATGCTAATATATATAATCCTTTATATAATTATTTAAAATGATGGTAAAATAATTAGAACAAAAATTAAAGCTGTTTGTATATACCCTCGACATTTTTTTTTCCCCCCAACAACTCCACATGGGTCGTTGTCATGGAAGCTAATAATTTTTTTCCCTGTTCTTGAAATTATTCGAAAGTCCCTTGGCATATTCATATATAGCTTTGAAAACTATAAATTGAAAGAGCCATGTCTGGGTGACGTAGATAATGGGATTGGGATGTGGAAAAACGATGCTGTGAAATGCAAATCGTGTGGTTATGATTGGTTTGGTGGGCTATTTAGCATTAGAGATTTTTATCTTTTAGGCTGAAGACAATGAAGCTTAGAAAATAACAAGTCTTCTTTGGAGGTCCACGATCGCGAAAAGAAAGGAAACCTACAATCATCTTACAAAAGCTTCTATTTAGGTAAAATGCTTGTCTCCATCCATTATGAATTTAATTTCAAATTATCCTCTTTAAAAATTAAATAAAATAGCTCTCATGGTCCTTGATTAACGAGAAGCACTGACATTTTATACAAATCTAGCTAACTCCATTTAATATAAATGTTGGCAAAATAGCCCTATAATGCTCCTCCGTGATTATTAATTAATTAATGGGGTTATTACTGACTGGATCCACTACGTACATAGCTTTACTGTATAATAATTTTTGTCTGTTCTCTAAAATAATATTCATAAGCAGTAGGTGAAAAGATGCTGCGTTTGTTAGCTAAAGTAATCCATTATTTTCTTAAATTGTGGGGATTACAAGGCCATGATCGCAGGGATCGATTATATATTATCAGAAGCTCGTGCAAAATTCGGATCAGAAGTGTCATAGGAACAAAATCAATATCGATACTTGTGTAAAATTATAGTATTAATTCACTATCATGATTAATCAGCTTGTTATTTTACTGAATTTTCTTTCTAATGATCCACGTGTCATCAGCCCACCCAACTTACAAACGACACACATCAAAAGTGGGGAAACATGGGAGAGTCATTTTTCATGTTAAGGGGGACCTCGATCTGGTGGTACATGGTATTTACATACTTCACGAAACCTCATTTTTATTAATTAGGAATTTGGTTGTCTCGGAATATCAATTTTTTTATTGCAATTATTGCATGCACGTACATTATATGCTTTATTATTTTTTTTCCTGAATGCCCAATAAATGTGCTTGTGCTTTACGTGAAAACGATGGGGTTTCTATCATATCTGCATTATATTATATATATAATAGATGCCATTTTCGCATTTGAAATCGAGAAGCCTCTATTCCTACTGGGTCTCGTTCATTTTGGAGATTAAATTTTCCAATATTTGGAATATTATTGATTATGTATAAAAGTCAAGTTCTCCTAGTCTTTAATCCGCGCTAATGTTTAGCCAAAATAATAACTCAAACTTGTGCGTGGGTTCAAACTGGACGCGTCAAGTTCATAGATAACAAACGAGAACCGTATAGGAACTTATCTCTTAACTATTATTTTTTTAAAAATAATTCCTTATTTTTTAAAAATAAAAAATTAAATTTAAACTATCTAAATGAGATTTGAACTGTCTAAATATGATGAGCTTGAGGTGCTCATTCAAAACTCTTAATTATTATCTTTTTTAAAATAAAAAATTAAGTATAGACCATCTAAATCAAATATGAATGGTAAATACGATGAGCTTGGGGTTGTGATGAGTACCAAAAACTCGTTTTAAAGCACATATACATACATATATATTTATATATATGGCTGAATGATCCCGGCCAGAGAGTGTACTTCTATCAGTTCAAGTCAGCAATGTTCTTCATTGTTTTTTTTCAAAAAAAAATTTGTGAGTAAATAATTCTTCGACATAATATGCTTTTGTTAAATAAATAATTATTAATTAACGTAACTAGCAATAATGTGATCGATGTATCATCTGTTTGAACATGTTTAAAAATGATAATTAGGACATAATCTAAAATATTGAGGAAAAAAATGTATATATATACATGTCAAAGCAAGACAATATATATGTGTGCCAGCTATATACAAGATTTTGTAAATCAGAGAAACTCACAGTTTTGCGTCATCTTTCATATATATATGTTTGCGCGCGCGCGCGGCAGACAAGTTGCGTAAATTCTTTGACAAAAACATGATAAACATATCTGATACTGACGGTTAGCCAGAGAAAAACAAATCTGATAACCCTTCAGATTTATATTTCGATCAGTGATCGCTTCAAAATTATATGATACTGACGGTTGATGATTTTTTGTTTTGGTTTGTTTTACAGAGATTTTTGCAAAGTCGGAAAGTACGTAAGTCAAAACCGCAAAAGTTTCAACCGAATTAAAGGAGAAAAGAGAGATCAGAATTTCGATTTTGCTTAAAAACTCATCCAAGAAGTCATTTTCACCTAATGAAATGAAACCACGTTTATCGATCAATATCACCGCGCTTTCCATTGTAGGCTCTAAACATTTTTGAAGAGACAAAAAGAAAAGAGATAGTGTTTGAATTGTTCACCATTATATTTAAATCTTTTTATGATTTAATGCCTATATATTTTGAAGCGATCCCACCATATAGAACACCAGTTGTGATCATTGAACACTTCGCAGCAAAAGTCCTAAACAACTTGTCGAGTATTATTTCTATAGATGAAGAGAAATTAAAACACATCTCTCCTACGATGCACAAATAGTTCATTATTAGCATGCTTTTGCATATAATATACGCCTCGTGCTATTTTAATACAGTGGCTGTATTCATAGGCATATACGGAATATACTATTTAAGGGTAATTATAGGCGTTACATATATGATTGCATCGAGCATGATAACAGGGAGAAATTCAAGGAGACATTTTGCGTCGGGGAAATCAGAATCAGTGTTTTGGTCCAAGGTATCGTACCACTTTCACTTTTGCCTTTATAGAAAGTATAATAAAGTCATTAGTACAGTAAACACATTCAAAAAGGAGGAGGAAAAAAACAGAGAAAGGGATATTCTCGGCACAACAAATTAAAGTTTATCAGTTTTTGTTCCAAGTGGGCACTAAACAACTAGGAAATCAATCACAATTCATAAAGGACTCTGTGTGTGTGTGTGTGTGTGTGTGTGTGCTGCTGCTGCTTTCTCATCACTAAATTTCTTTAACATATCATCGCTAGCTAGCTACCATATATATATATGTGTGTGTGTGTGTATATTATTAAACACAATATAATGGCGTCTTCCTTAGGGTTTCAACATTAAGTTTCTTTCATTGGAGTTCCATGCACGTCCATGAATAAAGACATTAAGAGGGAAGCTAAAGTATCTATGTGTATACATACAAATATATATATATATATATATATATGAGAGCAAGTGATAAAGTGAATGAATAATAATAGAGTTTGATCAATAGTCGAAGAGGAGGCATAGATGCATCATTCGTATTAAATTAGACAAAGAAATTAAAGTCGACCCGTAGTTACATGGAGAGTTTGGTTTTTTGGATAAATAATAGATGGCAATGATTCGTTCTCGTTCGGTAACACTGATTTTTAGTTTTTGGATCTTTGACCATATATAGCTTTTGAGAGAGAATGCGTTTCAATCATGGACACTATCTTTATTACAGAAATTGGATGTTTTGGCAACTAGAGAAGCAATATGTGTATATGCTCAAAGTTAAAGGAAATGCAACAAA